ACACACAGCCTCTTCCCAATATGCGTTTTTGCAATTTACATATATGCAAAAACGCATAAAAACTATGAATGCAAGAGTTAAGAAAGACTCAATTTCTTAAAAGTATGTATCAAAATCTCTTGGTTAGTAAAATGTCCTACCACGAAATGGCAACCTGTGGCACGAAATGGCGATGCTCAATACGCACCAAAAACATCTCAAAACAGCAAAAACTTTTCGAAGTGCTTCTGTCGGGAGGAAACTGTTGAGCGGGTAATTCCTTCAGAAGACAAAACGTACGCCAGGATCGCCAGCGTGCTGACCATCAAGCCGTGTAACATTTGGTAAAAGCGTTTGGAAAAGTTGCCAGATAAATATATGGCGAATTTTATTATGAATTAAGTATCTAGCATGAACATCCAGGCGGGAACGCACCGGGCGGGCCCATACGATTATGTGTTTTTGCACCGGACTTGAAGTGCTCAGGTTATTAACGGCATGAATGGTTGTTGCTTTACATCTACCTTTTGTGGTTACTAGCATAAATCACAACAAATTTTGTATAAAGTAAATGTACAATTTCTATTTAACGGTCGTTCCTTAAAAATAACCTAGCTGTTCAGTGAGGAAATTCTCCATCAACCTTTTAAGTACCTACACATAAGAACCACGCATACCTCAAGGCTGAATTTGAAAAATACTGAAGTTGTACTTGGAACAAGGGACATTCTCCTGAATTTTCAGCTTTCTAGCCTTTCTTTTTCACGAGTTAGCAATTTTCCCGCAGATTCATACGCCCTTACTTGAGTATAACGCATAGCTGGGGCTGAATTTGAAATATTTGAGATCTACTCCCAAAGTTTTTGCCTTCCAGCTTTTCTGGTTGCCGAGTTCTCCCGCCAAATCTTTCACGTGCTCGCACATAAGAACCACGCATACTTGAGGGCTGGATTTGAAATATTTGAGTTGTACTTGGAGAGGGACATTCCCTCAAATTTTCAGCTTTCTAGCTTGCCTGATTCCTGAGTTAGCAATTTTCCCACCAAAACTTTCATACGCTTTTACGTCAGTACCTTACATATCTGGGGACTGAATTTGAAAACTTTAGCTAACGCATACACATGGAATATCCCTACAAAGCTTCAGCCTCTTACCTTGTCTGGTTCCCGAGATCGCTTTTCCCCCAAAAAATTTGCATATTTTTTAAAGCGTCCGTACGTGACACGCAGGCGTTCGCGGGGGATGATATTAAAACGGGAGAGCCGGGCATGGTACGTGTACATACTCCCAAAGTTTCAGCCTCCTAACTTTTCTGGTTCTTAAGTTGAAAATGGGTGACATAAAGTGCGAACATACAGATACACGTACACACAGAGAGCCTCTTCCCAATATGTGTTTTTGCAATTTGCATATACGCAAAAACGCATGAAATATCAATAATTATCATAAATTGAGGATTAATAATTGTGTTTTCAGGTCGAATGCTTATAAAAGTGGCAATACGACCGTACGAACAGTTGACATGCTTCTGAAATCTATATAAAGTAGCTTGGTCAATAATGCGGCCAATCATTTTACAATGTTGCCAAGTGGAGGTTGGGCTGCGCGAAATGCTCCCAGCTGCTATCATTAATTTACTATTTCCTGCGTTTGTTTTGGTAAGTTCTCAAATTTCAGCTAGACTTTACTGATGTGAATGCAAGTTTGAAAATATGGGCAAAAACGCTTAACAAGTGGCAAAGAAACGGCTTGAAATTGGCAAATTAGTGATGGTTTGCTATATGCAAGGAACACAATGGAATAAACGCGATAACAAATCAAGAAGGTCAGAAATTTAGCCAGAAGTGTAACGTAACCAAATTGAAATTAGAATACTGGATATAGAACTCAACTGAAAATTAAATTAAACGAAAATGGAGCGTATAAAAATCGCTTTAACATTTAAATAAGTTTTTTTAACAAATACTATTTTTCAAGTGCTGAACTAAAATGAAAAACAAAAGTTCACAGAAAAACAATAGTTTTTAAATTCAGAGCTTAATGATTGGATGCATACAGTCGACAGCTGGACATTTTTCGCCATCAGGTTCATACAGTATAAAATCAGATAAAAAGCCAGTTAAGGTATTAATTTTTGGCCAACTTGTACAATGCATCATCCTCCTAAATTCTTGTTTGCCTGAATTTCTTTACTATTGTTTTTTCCTATAATTTTCAGTTCAAAGCTAGAACTAGGACTCGTTTAAGACTTTACTTTGATTAATTTTTACTCTGTTGTCGTATTTCTTCACGCCGTTGATGCACCGAGCAATCTCCCCCATCGCGAGTTGTTTCTTTAAA